GGATTTATCTGCCTTGCAAAAATAAATAAAACACCAGCCTCCTGACAGACTTCTGCTGCCAAGAAGTCAGCTAAATAAGCGACAACCTTCTCATTTTGCATTTTTAATTAGGGACATGCCTGTCACACTTCCCCGGCTGGGGCTGAGCTCGCTTCTGCACTTAACGCTGGGTTTAAACCACTTTGTTAGGAAGAGCGCGGCATCCTCCGTGCCAACGTTGCAGCGCTCGCCCTCTCTGAGGCTAGAACGCCTTTTCAGTGAATTAGAGTGTAATTGGTTAATTAGTTCAAGTAAAACTTGGAATTTTTTTTATTTGTTTTTTTTTAAAGCGAGTCTCAAGAAACAGAGCGGAAACAAAAGGACAAGTTTCCTTTCTCCGCATCGCCCGAGCCTACAGAAATAACAGCAAAACCAACCGTGCTCCCAGCACGGATCCCCAAAAGCCGGGGCAAGCCGGGTCAAATCGACGCCGCCTTCCCGGGTGCAGCAATTTATTCTCACTGCTGTAACGGCGAGATGGACAACAGCGCTCGATGCCAAGCGCGGGCCGAGAAAAGGGCGTGCGGGTAAGACCCCCCCTTCCCCAGCAAGGAGAGGGGAAAACATGGGAGCAAGGAGCCCACCGATCTCGCTGGTGCCAGGGCTCCCCGGAATCCACATCTCCCTCCAGCTCAGGCGCTGCGATTTCCCCTACTCGCGTCACCTCCTCATTGTTTTAACGCGCGGAGGTGCTCACCGAGTAATTTATTTGCAATATCTCTATCAGCAAATTTCAGCGGCAACAAAAGTTTTCCATTCGGCGCCTGCTTATAGGACAATCTTATCGCTCAGCCATCTTGCACGGTCCCTTTCAACAAGGTCTTAAAGCGCTTTATCTGCTCGGTTTCCCGGTAGCAAAATATGATTGAAATGTTCTATTTCTGCTCGCCCGGATTAAGGAGATGTTGCAAAACTGCACAAAAACCTGGCAGATGTAAGCAAGGTATTACGGCTGCTCAGGCTGTTAAGATCTGAGGAGAAAGATCAATATGTGCTTCTAAAGTTGTGCCTCCAGAAAGGGGGCGGGGAGAAGCTAAGGACGTTAAAATACATCACTTCTCGGCGATGCTGCCCAAACTCGAGCGCAAAAAGATAAACTAGGCTTTATTATTTCTATCTGATGCTGAAATCGCGCTCCGCGTACTCCCTTTCTCCTGCAAGGTCCCTACGAGCAACTCAGCCAAGAAGACGCTTGCGGGATGGAGAGCGGCGGCCATCGGGAAAAGCACCTTTTTTTTAAAAAAAAAAAAAACCAAAACCACAACCAAACCAACCAAAACGGTTTTCCTCTGTAATTCCTGCTCGATGCAACGCTCGAGGCACGCAAAAAGACGAAGCCGGCCGAAGCCTCCAGGTTGCGAGATATCGCTGGAGGATGCTCCGGC